TGCCTGCTGTGTGATTTCAGTTCTGTGACATTCGGGAAAAGGCAACACTATGGCAACAGGAAGATCAGTGTTTGTCAGGGGTTAGAGGGAGGGAAGGGTGAACAGGTAGAACACACAGGGTTTTCAGGGCAGTGAAACTACTCTGTGTGATCCTGTAAGGATGGATATGTGCCGTTATACGTCTGTCCAGTCCACACAGTGTGCACTGCCAAGAGTGAAGGCTCATGCAAATGGCGGACTTTGGTTGTGTCTGAGCTGGGGCTACCATAACAAAACTGCCATAGACTGGGTGACTTCAACAACATTTATTTAATGTTGTTCACAGGTTTTGAGGCATGGAAGTTCAAGATCAATATGAGGGCCCTCTTCCGAGATCACACACACAGCCCTCTCACTGTGTCCTCAAAGGTGGTAGGAGATAGGAAGCTCTGTGGAGTCCCTTCAGTAAAGGCTGTGTGTCTTGCCCCAATCCACCCCGCCGCAGGCCCCACACCTAACACCATCACACTGGGAATTAGGCTTCAGCATAGAAATCTGGGGGCACACAAGCCTTCAGTCTCTTGTGACACCAATGTATCAATGTACGTTCGTCCATGTCAATAGTACCACCGTGCTGGGGGATGTGGATAGCAGGAGAGGTTGTGTTTGGAGGAACAAGGGTGTATGGGAACTCTGTACCCCCTTCTAAAGTTTGCTATGAACCTAAAATGGCTCTAAACAATAAAGTCTATTTTAAAAAATTGTCAAGTGACCAAATGCAAGCTTACATATATGATCATGTTTGAAGCATTTGGGTTAAAGTTTTAGAATACTTTTTTACAAGAGAGCCAGCTCATTTCTTCTAAGGCATCTCTTTTAAAATTATTTATTCTTTTACGTGCCAGAATTTGGGGACACTTGTAACATGGAAATCTGGTGTAAAAGAGCTACATGGAATGTCCTTTCCTCTAGCACCTCGCTTTGTGAAATTGCCATTGGGGGAGATTGATTACGTTACCATCAGGGGGATGTACCAGCCCAGCCACCTGAGGGACTTGGGCTGTTGGCTCCAAGCCTGGTCTCTGCTCTGAGCACAACTGGCTAGTATTGAGTCTTGCACATTGCTACTGCTGGGGCCAGACCATCTTGCATAAAATACTTCCCAAAGATCCACTGCATTTTCCTGAAAGTAGGAAAGGATACCCAACCTCTCTGACAGATTTGATTTTGTAACCTATTGTACTCCTTTTGCAAGCCTGGTAGAAGACATGGCCACTTTCATGTAGCATTAAGGCCTGTTAATGTCCTTATATATTAATGCTATGGGTACCACCTAGGAGTCCAGAGTTGTGATCAGGAACCACAGATTTGCAGTAACCACAGCAAAGGTTACACCATGCTCTGTCCCTTCCCATTTGGGCATCTTTGGACAAGGTTCTTCAACATCTTGAGTCTCTGTTTCCTCCTCTCTATAATGCCAGTCACAGTTGTCGCCTAGGGTTGTTGAGGGGGTCATATTTAGATATGACCTCTATGGCACTTAGCCCAGAGCCTGGCACATTAGTAGCATCGTTCATTACTGTTATGTTCTCTCTGATGAAAGTAAAGGGCATGGGATCAGTTCTGTGAGACCTTGAGTAAGTCGCTGGAACATCCAGAAACTCACTTTGCATATCTGTAAAATGAATATTAAAATGCTTTGTCTATTCACGAGTTTGTTGTGAGGATTGTATGAAATACTGGATACATCATTTTGAAAAGCAGGTATACTTCTTGAGTACTTACGATGAGCTATGCATGTCGTTGCTAAGGCTATGCACTCTCTCACCAGGAGTGGGTACTATTGGCTTGGTTTCCCCCCACCTCTGTTTGAAGGGAAAGGGTTATCTCCCTAATACACGAATGCAAGGACAAACTAACCTTCCTCATCTTTTCAGCTAGATTGCAGGCAGTGAGGTCATGGACCTGGTTGTCCATTCAGCCCCATCTCTTCCAACGGCCCTTGGATCGACTCATCCTGTGTGTTGAATGAATGAGAGTACAAATGAGTGAATGATGTATACGAGCAAACGCAGGCTGCCACGTTTTTTCAATCTCCAGGAGATCCAGAGGCCACGATAATATCTAAGGGATGTGGGCCCAAAGTGTGGCTGGCTCACAGCCCGCTTACAACTCACCCGGCGGCTGGGGTGCATCTAACCCCAGACCCAGTGAATTCCACCCCATCAGCCTGCCAGCAATGGTCTGCAGCTCTCAGAGCAGAGGAATCTCATTCTGGAGGAGCAATCAAGGCGGCTTCCAGCAGGAGGCAGCCTCTGGGGATTAAGAGGCAGGGTGTGTTGGAATTGGCAGTGGGATACGAGAGGCCAGGGGCGTCTTCACTTCCGTAGCCCAAGTGCCCAGCAAACGGACGTCGGAGCAGGCGCTCAATGCAGGGGTGCTCCATGAACAAACCCGAGTCTCCCTCGCCGACCTTCCTCTTCGCCCGCGCCCACCAAGCCTCGGGGACGACTCCCCCGACTCCCCTTCGTGGTCAGTGCGCAGGCGTGGGAGAGCGCACGCGGGTGACGTCATTTTACATCGACCCCCCCCCCCGCCCCGGGAGTTGTCGCGCACTGATAGCGTCGCCATGGAGTCCAGGGAGGGTGAGGTTCCGTGGGAGACACCCGGGGGCTTGGGACTGCTGGAGAGAGGGCCCGGGCTGCGGAGAAACCACTGGGGGCCAGTAGCGGAGGCGCGTGGAGGGATCACAAGGGATAGAGTAGAGGGACCGCTGGAGAGAAAGGAATGGGACGGAGGGTGGGGCTCGGGGGTCGGACCCCCGGGAGATACGGTGATAATGGGATCAGAGGATGGAGCGCTATCTGCTGGGTAGGTGGTGGTGTCCGTCCGCTCGCCCGGTACCAGACATCTACCCCCGTGAGATCTGCCCTCCCATATAATTTTCACTTTACAGAATGGGAAGCTGAGGCTCGCAGCTGCTGGCAGGGGCAGGACCGGACACCAATGTAATTGAAACGCTGCGGCACTTAATCACTGTCTTCTTAACAAAAGCTTTCTGGGGCCTCGGATATAGCAGGCACTGGGGAGGCTCGCCCCAGAGTCCCTGGGCTTTGGTGATGTGTTGCAGGGTTGCCTGGCAAAGATCACACTAAAGTGGGCAGCGCGCCAGGGTCTGTCACGCCAGCCCTTACTACACGTGCAGCATGTGAACTGCAAAGTAAACAGTTGCTGTTAGTACAATGGAACGAGGGGTGGGGGAGGGGGGAGACCTTTGGAGATGCCTGCCAAGTGCCAGGACTGAGCTCAGCTAGAGATAGAAGGCAGAGTAAAACCCACGCTGACCTGACCATCCACTACAGAACAGGGTTCAGGCATTTCACACATTAATATGTGTCGCCTTTTATTATCCTAATCATTTCCTATGTTTTCGTAACTCTCCAAGGGCAAGGATATGACCTTTTATTCTCTCCCTCTCCTCCCAATTAGCCCATCGCTTTCTAAATGGGAGGCACTCAAACGTCTGTGATTAATTGACTCTGGCAAGCGTCCTGATGTCTATGCTTCTTGTGTCCCCCAGCGTCCAGCACGGTGCTGGGGATGTGGTAGGACCTTTGGGTTGTTGGTGAAAGTGGTGAAGCCTTATGATAGTTGTATCAGTGTGATTGTTTCTGTTTGAAAAAAAAAAACAAACAAGCCAACAGTGAGGGTGCTCTGCATTTTTAAAGGAAGGACATCTGTCTGCGATTGAGTCCTTAGAGAATGCTCTCTGGGGGAGGTGGCAGCTCAGCTGGTTCTGAAGCGAGAGGAGGAGCTGGACCTGGGAGGAGGAGAGGAGAGGAGGTACTAAGGCCTGAAAGAGAGAGGGCAGGCATGTGGGACTACACTGATTGGGCCACTTTTTGAATTTGAAGTGAAGAATGATGGGAGATGCAACTGAAGTGGCCAGCAGGGTTTTGCAGCTCATTCCACCCCCTGCAACAGAGGGATCCACAGAACTGTGGAGCAGGATGGAGGGGAGACTTCTGTAGGTGGAGCCAAAGCTGGGCCTTGAAGACAGGGTTTGCTGGTGAGACAGGGAGCTGAGCAGACTTTCCAGCAGAGTCCAGGAGGTGCAGAGCTCCCAGCCAGAAAGAACAGCTGAGTGCTGGAAGCTGCCCCGGTAGCCCTACCCAGGCTGACAGCAGTATAATTTCGGCCTGCGTCTTTAGAAATGTGTGTGCTCCCTAAGCATACCCGAGTCTGTGTGTTTGATTTCTGGAGTGGTTCAAAAGCACGGCTAGAGTTAAGAGGCACCAGGAAATTTCGGAGTAGACTCCAGGAGGCTCTGGGGTCTGGCTGAGAAGAGTCTTGCATGCACTCCATGCCAGCGGATCTAGGTCCAGGCTGAGGGCATAAGCAGTAGAAACGTTTAGCTGTGGCCCTTACACCTTAGAACTACACATAGAGGCTTCACAGATTGATAACAAAAATGGGCAGAAGGCTGTGAACACATATATCAGGAACAAAAGTTTGGAAACTACACACTGCCCATTAGGGGACTGCTTGAATAGATTTTGACCTGCTCGTATAGTGGAATACTGTGCGACTGAAAAAATAAGAGGGTGCATTTTGTGCACATGTGGACTAATCTGCAACATATTGAGTAAAAACAACAAAGTGCAGAGCAGTGTGCAGCTATGTGGATAGCGCACTCCCTGAGGAAAATAAAATGAGGGTGAGAACAGAAGTGTCTCCTGTGTGCAGCCTGAGCTACCCGGGGAAGGATGCACTAAAAGAAACAGGTGCATGGATTGCCTTAGGGGAGGGACTTGGAGCCTGGCACACAGTGAGGAGGGAGGCTTCGCTATTAGAATGTAATTTATTCCCATAATTTGAAACCACACAATTCAGAAATGTTTGTGGTGAGAGCCCGCTGCCTGCCCCACCCCCCTGCCCAGCCAGGCAACTCCCAGCTTTCGCTCGCTGTGGGGCTGCTCCCTTGTGCTGCTTTTGAGCAGCCTCCTCTCATTTAAGGGAGACTGAGGACCTGAGAGGTTACACCTGCCCCTCCTTCCTGCCTGAGTGACGAGAGGTGCCCCAGCCACACGCACTGTGTGTGAAACCTCAGGTTCACAGTCTGGATATGTTTAGTTACGGTGAGCACCACCTACATGCTCTAAAAAGAAGAGGCCAGCTTTTCGCTGCCAATGTCAGATACACATCAAGTACGATGTTGATAAATCCCTGCAGAGACTTTCGGGTGACGTAAGGTAGAAGAGTGTAATTTCATTGTAAATTACATTTGGGCACTGAATCTACTTCTAGGTTGGTAGTAAGAGTATTTGAGTAAGTAAGATTACCACATAATTCACAAAGCTGACCGAATACTAAGTTGTTATGAAAATAAACCAAGTAGTAGATGTTAGAGTAATTTGAAACAAACTACAAGGTTATCATTTTGGACCAACAAAAACAAAATGTCGGTGAATATTTTAAAATGTATCAATATGAATATGCTGGTTTTGTTTTTTCTATTTAACTGGAAACGTTTTTATATTTCTTTGCTCCAATAGGAACCCATAGTTAATACAAATTTTATTACGACTGCTCCAATCAAAATATAAGTGTTGCCTAAAATTACATTTCCAAAGTTGGATATAAAAGAAAAGATTCCCACACTGACAAAGGGGTTGTAATTGGTAATCCCGAATAATACTGGTGTACAAATCACTGAGGGTTAAGGCAAGCTTCCCGGACTTCAGCAAGAGTAAACCAATCACAGCTATTTGAAGACTAAGCAGCGTTAGGTGACTGAGCAGAATGGGTATCTCCGGGAATCCTGGGTTACGTGGTTTGGGTTGCATTTTGCTCTCCTACTGCCACAGGTCAGTAGAACCAGGTTAAACATTTGGGTCATATTGAGTTTACTGTTTTTGGACTTGAGCCATTAGTCATGGGTGTAGAACTTATCACTAACCCCGATTCGATAACACAGAGACAGAAGCCCTAGAGCCCGCTCTGGCCTGGGAGGGGGTAGGGGTACGGCTGCCGCAGGCACGCAGGCAGATCTGGGGCGCATGCGCTGTGGGATTCTTTCCTGCCGTTTTAATCAGTCATGCCCTTGTCTCGGTAGGTGTTTCCAAACAGGACATTCGTGAGCAGATCTGGGACTACATGGAATCACAGAATATAGCTGACTTTCCCCGACCTGTCCATCACAGGATTCCCAACTTCAAGGTACTGAAGCATTCCAGGAGCATTCAAAAGGGAAACAGGGTGTTCCTGCATGAATAACAGTAGTAGTGCAGTTACAGTCCTGTTTCATGGTGGATTCAAATTCAGCAAACAGAGAGGTGGCTTGAAGTCCAAACTCCCAGGCTGGGGTGTTTTTGTGTTTGGAGACATCCCTTATGTTACTTAAGCTTCAGTCTTGGGCCTCTTGCCTTTCTCTGCAGCGTGGGCTGGCTGGTTGTCCCATGTCGTGGGGTGGTGCTCAGTCTGCTGTTCACCATTTGATGCAGAGTGAAGTGTCTGCTTATCCCGGCTGGAAGCACGTTACTGTGGTGGCTTCGCACGGAGTTGGCTCCCTAAGGACAGCAAGGAGGGCGTGCACTGGGACAGAGCCCCACTGCTAATCCCTTTGGAAAGAGACAGCCTGCGCCAGTTCCTGATGATGCGGGCCTCAGTTTCCCAACTGTTCTGAGTAGAAGGCAGTCAAATATGTCTCTTTAGGATGGTATTGATAGGAAGAAGTTCGCTTGAAAGAGGCAATATACACAGTTCATAATCTGTGACATAGATGTTTCCCAAGAGGAAAAGAAAGCGTGTTTTGAAAATACACTGATTGCTCTCCGATCTGACATGAAGGACGCAGCCCATTAGCCTGCCATCACCCCCATTTTGGCTGGACATTCTCTCCCCTGCTCAGCTTCCAAGGAACCAGCCCCAGCCCTTCTCTGGGTCTCAGCAGAGCTGTTCCGAGGCCACCCTGTCCTTCTGAACAATTGTTCTGTCAGATGGTTTGCGTTGCTACTTTGTTTTGTTTCAGTGCTTGTTGCCCCAGGGAAAGAACTGTACTGAAGTACAGGGAAAGACGCACAGAATCAGTAATAGTCTTTAAAAAGAAACCAACTAGGAGAGGGACGGAGTTTCCCAGTTAGTACTGCAACCTTGATTTATATTCTCTGTCTTGATTTAGGTGCTGGTTGCACAGGTGTGTTCATTTTGTGACAAGTCTTTAGGCTCTCACGTGATTTGTACACTTTGCAGGGAGTGTATGTTTTATTTCAGTAATAAATCAGGGCTAGGCTAGCTTTCTCAGCCCCTTTCTACCCTGCTTTCTTAGTTGTTTCTTCGGGTGACTCTTAAATCTTGTTTCATAATCAGTGCTTCCACCGTCTGGGTGGGGCCCTGGAGCAAACTGTGCGGGCTGCAGCTGTCCTCTTGGTAACTGTGCAATTGCATTTAACGACAGGGCGCTTCTCGTGCCGCTGAGCATTTCCCACGCTTGCGGGAGTTCCAAATGGCCAGAACCGTTAAAGTCAACCCTGATGCTCCCCAGAAAAACGCTCGCTTCTTCGTCCTCGACGTAAGTGCAGCTCTGTCTGTTTGCTTGACCAGGGCTCCTTTCGGGCTTGCCAAAACATCAAAGACCTGGAAGTGTTTGCCAGAGTGCAGGAAGTTAAAGTGGACCCCGATAAACCGCTGGAAGGCGTGCGGCTGTTGGCACTGCAGGTAACCCCACCTTCCTGCCCCTGACCGGCGGCCAGTGCTGGTGGCCAGCGAATGTGTGCAGACCTGTGTCTAGGAAGATGGTCCTTCTGACTCCGTCCCACGCAGAACGCGCCCTGGAGTTGTTTTGTCGGAAACAGTCCTGAAGTCTCTACACGCTTAGCAGTCAGTCAGCTGGGAGTCCTGAGTGTTTCTAAATTCAGAGATAAAGGACATTCAGAATGATGACATGGAGGTCTTCTCAGTTCGGATGTGCTCCATCAGAGGGGGAAGGTTATAATCTGTTCATTTCCTTCTGCTACATTTGTAATATTATAGTTCTTTGAAACTTGATAACCTGTGAGTTAGGAATCTGATGTGAGTCCCCAGAATATATAAACTAAAACAGTGTGTCTTAGCTACACAGGCCCCTTTCAAGAAAAAGTTTCTCCAGGGTTGCTTTAAATTAATTTCTTATAATTCAGTAAGTATAAACATAAACCTTGATATAAATTTTAATGCTCATAGCTCTTATGCCATGATAAAACAAAAATAAGCATATAAATTAAGCACAAACAAAACTATAAAAGCAGTAACATTCAAATAACCGGTAGTTCTACGTAATGGTAATGTTGTGTTGCCGACACTGTGACTGTGGCACTGAGGCCGCAGTGCAAGGTCTTCAGGAGTGTGTCTGCGCTGCCTCACCCCTCGGGGTCCCTTGGTCCCCGCAGCTCCTGAGAAGCCGGGGCTGTGCGGCGGGGGGGGGGGTCGTCGCCCCCCCGAGGTGAGAGGAATCTCCCCCGGGGACGGAGGGCTGTAGGCACGCTGCCCTGGGTCTTTCAGCTGTTCGGTGCAGGAAGTCATTGTCTTCTGTTTGTGGTGCGCCCCAGGAGGGGCCTCTGGTCTAGGCTCTTCTGGAAGCATTCTTTCTTGCCAGCCTTATTTTCCCAGTCCGTAAATCAGTTCAATGAACTAGAGGCAATAATAGTAGCAGCAGTGGGGAAGGACCCACAGTGGGCAGTTACATGTGAGGCACATTTCTGTCTGAACAGTTTCCTATATCCATGAATCCTACCAACAACCCTGTGGGAGCAATCCCTATCCCCATAGGACATCGAATAAACCAGAAACAAATAGGTCAAGTTCCTTGCTAAGCCCCTTATCAGGCACCGTGGAGCCAGGACTGTGACCCACCGTGGGACCAGAGCCAGCTCTTGGCTTCTGTGAGGCGTAGGTTGTTCTTACCCACCAGCCTGAGCACAAAACCACAGGCCTTGAATGTGTGGGAGATTTTAGACTTGGCCAAGGCAACCTGTGGGAGGAGTGCAACCCGGTGACAGGGCGGCACAACTGAGCCCTCACTGGCACTTTATTTATTTAGGGGAAGCAAGCAGCCACGCTGCATTTCAGGCCCTATGCTGAGCACAGGGATGCAGGAGCAGAAGCACACACCGACACCTGTGGCCCCTGTGCTCCAGGGTGACCGGTCCCTCGGTGGTCTCTCCGAACTTGAGTGGGTTGAGAATCACCTAGGATGCTCCACAGTCCCACCCAAGTACAGGCAAGGATGGTGCTGCATATGGCCTCAGGCCACACCTGAGGACACAATAGCTTGTGTGTGGGGGTGCAGAGCTTCCCAGGCTCAACCCAGGCCCAGAATTGGAGTCTGTTTCTAATGAACACCCGATGGTGCTCGGGAGCCACTGGCCTCGGCCGAACTTGCTGGCCCCAGCGGCAGGCTGGTGCCCTCAGGGGAGCTGGGAGGTGATCTGCTGCCGGGGTCGGTTCTGTCCGAGTCCGAGGCTGTGAGTGGTCTGGGCCTTGGTGAGTCTTCCGGTCCCACAGACCGTGCTAACGTGCAGCTGGGGTTGAGACCCACTGAGCTGTGGGGCGAGCACAGCTTCCCAAAAAGGGAGGAGCCAGAATCAGCCTGCAGCGTGCCAGAGTCATCCAGAGACTGCAGGTGAAATGCACCCAAATTACTTAACACGCAAAGGGAAAATAGGATGTGGTCATTGTGTTAAAAAGGCTTTTGGGTTGAAAAATCTCTGTTTAGGTAAGCCAGACTGTGATTTTATAGGTCTCTTGTTGGTCTCCGGCTGCCATCTCCTGCACAGAAACTAAAATATACTATTTTTTACACAAAAAAGGTGTTTATAAATTTTATGGTTGCCTTATAGCCTACCCCGAGTGATCTACAGAGATGCCCTTGGGCAGTGGTTCCCCGATGCCCCGGCGGACGCGCCCGCCCCCAGAGCCTGCGGCCATTCCTAAGCAGTGCCTAGGGGTTTCTGCGGCTGCCACTGCTCAGGGCCCGCACTTCGACGGTCTGAGAGCTGAATGGGAGAACGGGGCTGTTGACAGAGATCAGCGTAAAATACTGATTATATCAAGTGCTGACCGCCTAGGCTGCGAATTGAACAGCAAACTAGATATAAGTGCTTAATGGAATAACATTATTAATGCAGCTCTAGTTTCCAGTTTCAAGTGAAAACAGTAACTGTATAGCACTTAATGCTCAGAACAGCATGAGAGTTATGCTCAGACACAGGAAAGTTACTGTTGGGACTTTTGTAAGACAGACCTTTGTTTGGATTTATATTGTCATTTTTGACCTGTAACAATTTCCATTGGCAAGTGAAGTAGAACTAGCAAGTGTAACAAATGCCCTTCTTTTTATCCTAAGGCAGGGTGAAGTAGTGACCCCACACGTAATTTACTTGTTTGCATACCAGTGATTTTCTTGGCACGCTGCAAAAAATTGCAGATATGATAGTAACTTGCTTCCATTCCTGAAATGTTAAAAACATACTCAAAAAAGTTCCTATTTCATTTTGTAATTTACTGTTTGTCTTTGTTTTAAAAGAGCAAGAAAATGTTGTTGGTCCCAACACCACGACTGAGAACAGGGCTGTTTAATAGGATCACCCCACCCCCTGGGGCGACCAAAGACGTCCTGAGGAAGTGTGCCACCTCGCAGGTAAGGGCGGGAAGCAGGCCACTCCCCAAGGAGAGAACGTCCTCAGCCGCAGCTTCTGGTGAGTTAGAATAGCATAAAATACACCACAGAGTTTGCAGTGTATTTTTAACCAAGTCAAGTGAACAGAGATGTTGAAGTATTCAGCAATCCTGTCATTAAGGGGGCCAAGCAGAGAAACTATGAATACGTGGATTCCGTTTTTGTAACTTGGTTTCTATTTTGCACCAAGCTGGCAAATTACAAATTCTGTTTAAAAGGAAAAGGAAAAACAAATGACCCGGTACGCGGGCGCCTTCTAGTGTTAATCCGTGCCGTGCCCGGTGCTCTGCAGCGTTCCCTCGGCGCCCGCCCTCCAGAGCAGCTAGCTGGGGCGCGGGGCAGACTGTCCAGAGGGTGCTCAGTAGGAAATGGCCTCGCAGTTCTAAATTTGTGATTGTGTGTGTGTGCGTGCGTGCGTGTGTGTGTGTGTAAAATTAGTATGTATAAATATAAATATGTATCTTGTATGTATATAAGATTTTCCTGAATGTCTCACAAGGTAGTAAAACCAAAGTGTGTAAGTATTACATTAGGGTGCATTACAGTGGAGTTTGTCCTGTAGTTTACAGATGAAGAAATAGAATTTGGTGGCTCTTCAGAGGCCTAGAGTACACTCCAGTCACTTGATTTCTTAGTTTACTGGAATAAAAAATAGAGCATCAGGATATTCCTTTTTTAAGGGACTTTCCACTTAAATCTAATGTAAAAACCTAAATGCTTTGTTGTTATTTATTGATAATCTGTTTTATTCCAGAAATAGAATTTGATGTGGCTTTAATAATACTTATAAAGTAAAATAATAAAACATGTGTGGAAAAAGAAGCAAAGGGAAAAATAAGGGCAGAAGAATAAAAGACAGCAGTGGTTCTGGTCGCTGCTCAAAAATGCAAACCCTTTGATTGTCTGCACTTGGGAGTGGCAGCCACAGATTTGAGCCCGCGTGTCTTGGAGCCCACAGGGAATGTGATCAGTTGTAAGTCCTAGGTCCATAACCGGGACAGCAGTCTTCTCCTGGGACCCGGGTCCAGGTCAGAGCACCCGTAAGAGCGTTCCTTTCCTCTCTGGAAGGTGGCCACCGCACTGCTTACTGCCAGGAGGTCCCATGAGGCACGGGCCCCGACCGGTCTCACGCATGCCCCCCTGAAAGTAGAGCCGGGCCTGGGGAGCCAGGCCAGTTCTCGTGACGGGACTTTTTAAGGGTGGAACAGCAGAGCTCGGGCTTTTTGGTAACATGAGATGCTGCACTGAAGTCAGAGATCCAGAGTCATTCTCATTCACTTTACCAAAAGATTCTCTTTTACTTTATGGCATGGGGGAAATGGTCAAGTGGAGAGAGACGCCAACAGCCACCTCCACATGCACATGCAAATTTCAGTGCGGTCATTATTTTGCTTACCAAGCAGTGGTGGAAATACTGCCGCAGGGCATGTCTACCCCGAGACACTCGATAGCGCCTTGTTTCTTGGCAGGTATGTCTCTGAATTTGTCCCTCACCACCTCCCTGCCACCGTCACACCCCAACTGCCTGTGTCTGTCACCACTGTCTTTGTATATATGTGCTCTGACAAAGGAGTGTTCTGGTGACCACCCCTGCGGGCAGACTGAAAAGCGTGTTAATCGAGTGATGAGTCTTTCTGCCCATCAGTGATTCTTTTTGTTGATTTGCACGTGACCTTGGAGAACCCGGAGACTCCTGGTTGCCCATGTTCTGTCTGGCTAGACTCACCAGGTGGGGCTGACCGCACAAGGGGAGAGGAAGTGTGACGGCCGGTTCTAAAACAAACCCCTGCGTAGCTGTCTGCTCACCTAGGCCGCCAGACAGTGAGGCCTTTAACACAGAGCTGGGAAAAGGGCCCTGGACGCGAGCTGCCTGCCTCCGTGGCCCCTGTGCGATTAAGAAAAGATGGGCTTCCCCACGGTGGGAGCGGTGTGCGCCAGCGGCTGGTTTGACTGTCGGGAGTCCCCCAAACTCACCACATGCACTCATCCTGGAAGTGGCTGGTCAGGTACTGCAGAGGGGCCAGCACCAAGCCCAGAGACTCACTTCTGCCAGGTACTTCTCCGTACACCGCCCCATTCTGATTTCCCGAGTTCCCCTGCAGCCTTGGTGTCAGCGTGCTGACCAAATCAGCGTCCCTGTTGGTTAAGTACAGGCCTCCATGAGTTAGTGCACGTGGGTGTGCTTTTGGTGCATTTTGGTCGAATGAGTAATAATATTTCAGAAGTGAGTGTGCTGTGCGTGGCCTCCAGCGTTTCATACTGGGTTACGATAGCACCCACGTTTACTGGCCTTGTCTCATGTGCCAGATTTTACCTCCACGACGTCCCTTCATTCCAGCATCAGTTCGCCAAGCCCTGGAGTGGTGTCCCTGTGTTAGAGATGGGGACCCTGGAGCCCAGAGTGCTTCCTCCTGCTGAGCTCACGGGGCAAAGGCATCAGGACCACGTCTGTGTGACTGCTGAGCTTGCGCTCTAGTTACTGGGCTTTTCTGTGTCACAGAAAGAAATGATTTGCTGAAAATTATGAAATTGATATCCTATCCACCTGTGCTGTCAGTTCCCCCTGGCATCTTCCTGGGGGAAGGGGCAGGAATGTGGTAAACTGTCCCACAGTGGGTTTCCCGAAATGCCGTTTCCGCAGGACCACGTGTTTGCCATAGGGCTGTGCGAGTGTGTGTTTCTCCCAAAGGGTCGGTGGATTCAGACCCTGATGGCTTCTTGCCTGTGAGTCAGGGGGCGGGGCAGCTGCTCGGGCTGGGGAGGCCTTCAGGTCCGTGTCTCTGTCCCCAGGGCGTGAGGAACTACAGCGTCCCCATGGGCTTGGACTCCAGGGTCCTCGTGGACTTAGTCGTGGTGGGGTCTGTCGCCGTTTCTGAAAAAGGTGAGAGTAAAAGCAGAAACTCACGGGTGCGACCCCTTCCCCTGCAGCTGGCTGCCCCACCAGCTCTCTGTTCGCCTCGCAGACGCTGACAGAAAGTAATCACAGCTTTCTGGACGCCTGCCTGGCTCCCACACCAAGCGCCTCTACCGTTCATTTTGAGGAGGGAACGCCGTCCCTCCCACTCCCGGCCCCACTCAACACCTTTACAGCATTTTCACTCTTCTCAACGGGGAAAAAGAAAGTGAGATGATCTCCCTTCAGGTGGTGAAAGGCTTTCCCCCTGTTCTTAAGTTAACTGGAACTGGAGCTGAGTTTATTTGCAGTATGTCAGTAAATAGTTGGTTTTGGAGAGCCTCCAGGAAATGGAAAAACATTAAGTACTAGACCTTGTTTTTGTTATGAAGCAGCAGCCTCCTGGACAAGACAGGGTGCCCGAGCCTGCCCGTGAGGCCTGGGGCGTGGCCACGCAGGGTGCAGGGTGCGAGCAGCCTGGGGCCAGTGCTCTGCCAGGCCACCCTCGGGACTTGGGACACTGCGGTTCCTGAGGCACCTCTCCCCACTCTGCCCTGCTCCACCCCACGCCCCGCTTGGTGCTCTTGGAAAACAACCTGCTCATTCTTTGGTGGGATCGGTGGTTCCAGGTGGGATCTGCCCACCTCAAACCTGCGTTCATGCGGTGTGATTTGGGGCTCCCACTAGGAAAGTGTTCTCTCTCTTCCTGTCCTTCTGAGAGATAAAAAGAGATGCTATCCTAAGACACTCATCCTCAAAGCTCTCTATTTGAAAATTAATCGGCCAAAATCAAGTTCATTCTTCAGGAGAGGTTCCCAGTAAATAGTTGGGGAGAGATGCTCTGAGTCAATTTTGAGCTTGGTGTTTTTAAATGCTGGACTTTAAAATCTTCACTTTAAGTGTACTTTTTTTTCCCCAGCTGTCTGAGCTAATATGTGAGGTATTGTAGTTCTTTATCTTCGCTTTTCCTGTGCACAGTTACAGGTACTTTATCTGTGTCATCAGGGATGAGTCTGCACGCGGGCCTACCACTGGCCAGGAGCCAGGCCGGCAGGCTGGGCCCATGGTGGGCGGGGGGTGGGGGGGGGAGTGGACACTTGCACAACTGCCACGCGTTGTGCTCGGTGTCAGACGTGGAAGTTAGGATGGGCGTCAGCGGGGTCCGAGGAGTGACCCGCGGGCCTCCAGCCGGGCACCATCTCAGAAGTGACACCAGGGCGAGCTCTCCATGCCCTTTGTGCTTGAGGCAGGGGGGAGAGGAGCGGGAGAGAGAGGGAGGGGCCTATTACCCAGCAGAGCCCTCTGCTGGTGGGGGCCAGTGGTCCCAGAGCCTCGAGGCCAGGGGACGGGATGTTCTGGCAGTGGGAAGTCAGCAAAGATGTCTTCTTTCAAAAGGTCATCAGGAGTTTTCTTTTTTAGCTCGGGATGTGTGAAGAAGAAACCATGTTCTGTAAATGTCATCGTCCTGATTAAAACAACAAACCTGCTGTGCCCACGTTTGTGAAATCCGAGGGGCCCGAGAGCAGCCCCTCTGCCCTTCCCTTCCTGCTGTCCCCCAGTCCCCACGGTCGGCAGTTCCTTGTGTCAGTGTACAGGACGCCTTCACCGTGGGAGGCACTGCAGGGGTCGCATGCACTCTGTGTGCAGGGGGGAGGGGTCATCCCATGCCTGTTTTCACGGGATGGACAGCCACAGCGCTTGGGGCCGTGCGGATGACGCTCTCCGAGTCTTCTCCACGGGTGGGCCTCCTTCTGTTAGCGAGCCCCGGCGAGGACGTTTAATGACCTCCAGAGTTGGGTTTCGTTTTTTCCCTTTCAGATGGTGTCAGGATGAGGTGGTGTCTGGTCAGATAGCCTAGTGGGTGGGCCTTTGGGGACTATTCTGAGGGAAGAACTGCCGAACCAATGGGTGGATGTTAAATCCCGATGGCTGTTGTCAGGTTTCCCCCCAGAAGGGTTGCCTGCCTCCCATCCTCAGCCCCGAGTGCCTTGCCACTCTCCCCACTCCTAGCGGATAACTGGAGTCACCCGTCTCTGATTTTTTCCCCGCCTCATGGTGAACACTGGTGTTTCATTTGTCTTTGATTTGCATTTAGTTACTGGTGAAGTTGAACATTCTCGTGCGTGCTGTTCATCTGCCTGTTTCTTTCTGTGGCCTGTTCATAGCCTCTGCTATTTTTCTGTTGAATTGTCTTTCTCTTATTTCTTTGCATGCTCAGTTGAAGGCTTTTAATGGTAAAAAGCATGATGAGATCTGAATCTCAGAATGACTCATGAGCAGCGAGGCTTGAACTCTTGGCGGTGCTGCTGCTGCTGACGTTAAGTAGAAGTCAGAATTTCTGCACTGCCCTGGGCTTCCTACCCAGAGGAATGTGGAGGCCCGTTTGGGAGCCAGAAGGCATTTTAATGTTGACTGTCTTGCCGCATTCTTTCCTCCCGCTTAGCTCCAGATAATGCTCTCCGTTGTGCCAGCTGTTTACAGATTTGCACCAATAGCGCTGGTGCTGCCAAAGCCCCCCTCCTCCAAGACCTGTGGGTGGACTGGGTGGCTCAGTGCTTTTCACAAGGTGAGGCTGTGCCGTCTTAAATCACGTATCTCTGACTTCAGTTTTTATTTTTACTTCAAGGGAAAGAGGTGAAAAAGATTATTTTTATCGTTGACACTGTTGCAGGGGCCCTCCCAGCCCCGCCCCCTTCCCTCTGGCCGCCGCCACACTGGTTTCCGTGTCCATGGGTCCTGCATGTGTGTGCTCTTCGGCTAATCCCTCCCCTTCTTTCATCCAGTCCCCCCTCCCCCCCTCCTGACAGCTGTCAGTCTGCTCCGTGTGTCCATGCCTCTGTTTCTATTCTGTTCATCAGTTAAACACTATTCTTTCTTCATTTGTAAGTAGTCCTGCTAACACAAAGCTCACATAAGTGCAACCGCAGTTTCCTTTTGTGGCACGTTGGAGAGGTCTGCAGCTCACTCCACTGTGTTCCAGCCACTGCACATGCTCAGCCTTGTTGCTCCTCTCTGAGTCCTGTGAGTCCATTTTTGGTGGGCTGCCCACAGGGTCACCATGGAAGTTTCTGTGGGAGGGCCAGGGGTATCGGATCCAGGTGTCTCCTTTCACTGTGATGCCATGGAAAGTGCACTCCTGAACGTCCCCCCGGACCCTGCAGAGAGACTGATACCCTGTGTTGTCTCCTAGGCTGGAGGATTGGGAAGGGAGAAGGCTACGCCGACCTTGAATATGCCATGATGGCGTCCATGGGAGCAGTCAGCCAGGGAACGCCAGTGGTCACCATCGTCCACGACTGCCAGGTGCTTCCTGTGGCCAGGCAGAGCCACTGCCATGCTCCTCTGAGAGTGAGGGGGAGGGAGAGAAGGGCGGGGAGAGAAAGGGACAGGCAGCAGCAGGCTGGTCTCTGCCTTCCCTCCGTGCTGTCCGTGAGTGGTGCTGGTTCGCCGGGGCCGGGTCTGCAGTGGTGCAGCAGCGAGGCCTCCTCCCCGCAGAGGGTCTGGGGCGGCATCGGGCTCCTGCTGAGCAGGGCAGGGAACAGGATGGGAGCCCTGTTCTCCATCAGCTCCTTTACCCACCTCTGTCTGACCAGGTTGTCGACATACCTGACGTGCTCATGGAGGACCACGACCTCACAGTGGACTACATCCTCACTCCGACGAGAGTCATCACCACAGGGTGCACGCGCCCCAGACCAGCAGGAGTCGTGTGGTCTAAGGTGGGTCACCGTGTGGCCTCGAGGGCAGCCACAGCATTGCGCAGCCAGCTCTGGGCCACCACTTAGAGGCATCTCCTCTCTTACTGTGTTCTCCATCTGGCATGGCAGTTGTCCCCAGGCCTGGGGTGGCTGGAGTTAGAGTTACTGTGAGCTTTTGGATAATTCGGCTTCGGACTCTCTCTCCAGGCAAGCGCCTAAGACTCTACTTTGCAAACCTGTGGGATTCTGAGCAAACCTGTGGGATTCTGAGCAAACCTGTGGGATTCTGATAAGCAGCCAGGTTCAAGGTCTCCTTCTACAAAACATCTAGCTATAGACGAGAGAAATGACCAGATCTACTAGGAGGGCTAATGACCCGAATTTACTTGCATACTACCTAAGAGATCCTGTCATTGGAAAGCTAGTGGGCCCTTCGAGGCACAAATGACGTCTGTGGAAGGCAGCACGTTTTCTGGCTTCATGTTCTTCTGAGTGTGCTCACGCCAGCATTTGTTCACCTTGGGCATTTGGAGGGACCTCAAAGCACTTTCCTCAACAACTAAGCTTTAGTCTCGTGCAAGAGAACTAATCATTTTGGTGAGTCGTATCTCATATTAGAAATACTTGTGGTGTTTCTGTTTATCTTTGCCTGCAGCTGCTCAAACACACTTGAGCGTTTTAGAACGACAGGGATTTTAAAGATCACCCAACCCAGTCTCCTCCTCTCCAGTCAGGTAAAGTGAGAGCCGGAAAGAATGCAACTCATCTGAAATCACAAAACCAGCGTGTGGCTGAGGTTAAATTAGAACCCAAGTCTCTTCTCTTGGGTTGGACGTAGATGCTGTGAGAGTGAGATTTCTGGCTTATGTTGTGCAAAGCAGTATTCGTAGGGGACAGGTCTGTTAATTTAATCATTAAAGAGAATATATATTTATAAGTGACTGATATCTGTATGCTTCAGTGAAGCATGATTGTAGCACATAAAAGAAAATCAAATTTGCTTTATACTATTTTTTTAGTTGCAGGACGGAAATGTTCTTTTTTATGTTTGATTAACAAGCAAAATCTTTCATTTTATGTGGCAAGTTGAGAAAATGTAACGACTTCCTAATTGCCGGCCAGGAAAAACAGCGGCACTGCGTGGACCTGTCCTGAGTGTGGCGTCCAGCCTGTGCGCTTGGCTCACAGAAGCCTTTCTGGCAGCTATGGGGCACCTGTCAGCCTCAGCCATTCTGCAGAGAAGTGGCAAGCCAGGAGCCGGAGAGTGTCCATTCAGAACTTGCCGGCCCAGTAGCCAGGAGATTTTCCCATTTAGAACTTGTAGGGAGTGTGGAGCAGGGCAGGGTGGAAGAGCACACTGACGTTGACTTTGTCCTTCCTCTTATCCAGTGATGGCTTTCGAAACAAACAGCTTTACAGGAAAGCCGTGCATGTGTGCACTGCAGTTTCTAAAGCTCCCTTTGCATGTGCCAGTGTGGCCACGCTGTAGACTTTCAGTGAATTTGTAACGTGAGGTTAAAACATTTTCATTATTCTTCAGCTGCTTACCACTGGTATATGTCCTAGCTCTGTAATGTGTGCAGAAGGACATATTTTTGCTTCATGTGACATGTTTTAGAATGAAATTTTCCCTGACCGGTGTGGCTCAGTGGGTTGGGCATCGTCCTGCAAAGTGAAAGGTTGCAAGTTCAATTCCTGGTCAGGGCACATGCCTGGGTTGCAGGTTCGGTCCGTGGTCGGGGTTCATGGAAGAGGCAGCCGATTGCTGTTGCTCTTGTACCTTGATGTTTCCCTCTCTTTCTCCTTCCCTTCCCCTCTCCCTAAAAAATAAAAATACACCCTGGCTGGTGTAGCTCAGTGGATTGAGCGCAGGCTGCGAACCAGACATCACAGGTTCGATTCCCAGTCAGGGCACATGCCTAGGTTGCAGGCCATGACCCCCAGCAACTGCACATTGATGTTTCTCCCTCTCTCTCTCTCTCTCTCCACCCCCTCTTCCCTTCCCTCCTAAAATAAATAAATAAAATCTTTAAAAATATATAAAAAAATAAAAAATAAAAAAATACTAAAAAAAAGAAATAAAACAATAAAATGAATTTCTGCTGCCTGAGCGTAGCGCCTTGCCCCGTGGGCCAGGTTTCCTGAGCGCACTTCCTTCTGCCGAGGGAGCTCTGTGGTTCCAATGGGCAGAGACGTGCAGGGGTGCTCACCTGGCTGGGCGACTCGGGAGCAGGCGCTGGCGGAAGCCCGGTGCTCACCAGGAGGCGAGGCCCACGGGTGCCCGTTGCTGCTGCTGGGAGTGGGGTAATATTCGGTTCTTCCCTGCATATGTGGTCACATTTTTTCTCTGATTGTAATTGCAGTTTTAACTCGATCATCCTTTGTAAGTACTAGGTCTAGTAACTTCGGAATCGAAGTATGAGTGGTTTAAGTCATTTTTAAATATTCTGAGAGAACACAAGGATGTGAGCCCTCCAGGAAGGTGGAGGGGGCACGGGGAAGAGTTGGGTTGGCTGCGCTCAGGGCACCGTTGGGGCTCTGGGACCCGGAACCTCTAGAGCACTGGTCTGTGCACTTAGTCACCTTTCAATGAGTCAGTCTGAAAGAAGGGCCGAGGGACGGACAAGTGGGCAAAAAACTCCTTTTGTTCAGAAAAGAGTAGTCACGTCTTGTGGATATTCAGAGCATAGACATGATTTTTGCCTGTGTGCCTGAAAAATGGACAGTGTCAGAAGGAGCCAGTCTCCTGTGCACAACCTTTCCCTGGTGGCTGCGAGTCGATGTGCCATTCTGAAGACCGGGGGAGAGGACAAGCACTCCCCGCAGGGGCCTCGGCCACGGCCGTGCCTGGGAGCAAGGGCTCTGACCCACAGAATAGGCTTTGCTGAGGCGGAGAGTATTATGTGCTGAGCACTGGGAGAGAGAACCAGGTACCCGAGTTCAGTTTGCAAGGAGGCCCTTGACTATGCTTAGGTGTTTGTTTCTTTAAACCTTACTCTAATTCATTGACTTTTAACCTGGGGCCTGTGCACTTCTTGTGGTTTGGAAGTCCTTGAACAGACATTGGGAAATTGTATACAGAATTGTGGGGGAGTCCTGGGGAGGGAACCGCAGCGTCTTTCAGAGGTCCCTGACGCCCTGCCAAAAATAAGAACCATTGCTCTAAGTTACATAGGCTTCTGAATATAACGAGAACATTGATGCTAGTCAGACTGTTTATTTTTGTAGAAAAATTGCACCTGTCTCGCGTGTGCTGATCTGCACTCCGCCGTGCCCGCGTCCGGAGGCGGGGGGGCCTGTGCCTGGGCCGCTGCCCACCTCTGTGCAGCTGGTCATTTGCCAGCTCTGTGCCCAGAATAAAGACAGAAAGGATCATTAAAGATGAGGACCGTCAAAAGGGACAGAAGAGTGTTTTTCTGTTCCTTCTCTGCCTCCCGTTTCCTCTGATAATACTAGACCGATCCTGCCCCAGGCTCAGTCGCCGGGCTCAGCCTAACCCAACAGGCCGACGTTCCCAGGGTCCCTGCCCCGCCAGGGCGGAGCCGGCGGGCTCCACACCGAGGGCCAGGTAGAGGACCTTCTGGCCTGTTCAGGCGGCCTCCGTGGTTGAACCTCATTTACTGGTGTCCTTCGTTGCAGGTGTCAGGAAATATTTGTAATATTCATTAGGCTAGAAGCCGAAGATGTCCTTTGTATAGAAGTCCTATCCATTGAGACTTAACATTGTATGCAGTGTGTGTTATTTTAGACTCGTTCATAGAACTGTTTTGAAAGGTAGTGTTCTGTTTCAGATTTGCCTTGGTTCCGTGTTTTCACCGAGCAGTGCTCCTTCAGTGGAGGAGACAAGAGGAGGAGGAGATCTGAGTGGCCGGTTAAAGACCTCATCCTGCCTAATGGCAGAGATCGGGGGAGGGGACAGGTGCGCAGGCAAAAAAAAAAAAAAAAAGATTTTAAAAAACACCATTGTCCTGGGGAGGTACCAGGGGAGCTGCCCTTTGTGGCCCTGTAACCCTCATCCCAGTGAGCTCAGCTGCTTCCCCTCTGGGTAGGAGGCCTTCGGTTTTCTGTTTTCTGGGCCTTGAGGAGACGAGAAAGCTGCCTGTTCTTGCCAGCTGCCAGGGCAGGGGCAAGGTGCAAAGCTACTGCTGCAGTGGGGGACCCACATCACAGAGGCCGGGGGGACCACTCACATCTGGTCCGTTGGCGCACGTGACCTGGCGTGCAGATAGAGACTGCTGCTGAGAGCCTGTGTGGCCGAGGTCCCCATGGGATTTCCATTTCTCCTCCCTCGGGAGCAAGTGGTGGTCCCTTTCAGACCGCCTGAGAATACCTGGAACTGCTTTACTTTTTCAGATCAGCTGTGAGATGATGGGGAGAATCCCGATACTCAGGAGCCTCCGCTCCCGAGAGAAGCAGGCTGGGAAAGATGTCACCCTTCAGGATGAGCACCAGCACGCGGTAGAAACCCGCAGCCCACACACAGCCCCCCCAAGCGCTGTCAGAAGACCCTGCGACCCACCACAGCCGGAGGTAGGGGAGGACGTGCCTTCCAACTCTGTCTACGTTGGGAACCTCCCCGGGGACGCCCGAGTGAGTGAGCTGAAGATAGCCCTCGGAGAGCGTGGCGTGGCCCCACTGTGGCTCACCTGGCAGGGGCCACAACACAGGGCCTTCCTCCACTACCCGGACCCAGCCGAGGCCCAGCGGGCCGTCTCCTGTCTGCAGGGCTTACACCTGGGTGCCAACACCTTGAGGGTGGCGCTGGCCAGGCAGCAGAGGACCCGAGACCTGACCGGCGGCCGTGTTGGAGAGCTGCACCCTGACTGTTTCCCCACCATCTGACCTGTAACACGTGGAACTTCAGAGACCTGCATACTGGGGGTGTGGTGGGGCTGTTGCTACATGAGCTGCATTGGCCAAGTTCAGTCCTTTCTAGGAAGTTGTGCCCTTCAGTGCCTACCTGGTGGTCTCCTGTTGAGAAGGGGAAATGAACCAGGAGTACGCTTGCTCCGTTTAGGAGGCGGAAAGCTCGGTGTGTTCAGTTCTGGTTTATCGTGGTCCTTTAGCCTATTCAACGTTCCGGCTGTGCTGGCTTCTCTGTAGAGGCAGCGTTTGAGAGTGTTCAGGGGACCGACTGAGCAATAAACAAGCGGGAGTAAATGGGGGCAGCGATTTAAGAGAGTTCGTGTCTGGATTTGAGGGCAGTGAGGGATGAGGAGGGGATGGACAGAGGGTCCTGCCAGGAGAGGTCTTGGCGGGCGCCCAAGGCAGGAGCACAGTGGGGCAAACCAGAAACCACGCTTGTGCCCCGGAACCCTTGGCCTGGCGCTGCCGGAGGGGACAGCCGTGTTCAGTTCGCAGACGCCCAGTACTTCATTCAGCCTCCTGGGGACAGGCCCCCTGTCTCCACCCAGTCCTGGCGTCACACACGGAGAGCTGATCTGACGTGGGCCCTTGGTGGAGTGGTCTCACCCCTGTCCCCTCCTTACCTTTTGAGCCTTTCTTCTCCCTCCAGGCTATATGCTGTGTTCTCTGGGCCAGTGGCCCGTGCACACAGTGGGAAGCGCTCTCCGTGGGAGGTGCTGGCCTTGGGAAGGGAGTCATCCCGGCCTACATCACAGACAAAGTTCTGCTAATGCCCCCGCACTGCCATTTGTCCAGTGCCTCATGTTTTCTGAGTTTTCCCCACCAGTTTCTTGTCCCTAAAAAACAAGCTGGATTTTGGCTGAACTGTGCTTTCTCAACAGAAGCACTTTTGCAGTTGATCCTGGGCAGAAAGTCAAAATAAGCATTTAAGTAGAGATTTTATTTTTCAAATGTACATGCATAGGAAATTTCATTTTTTCACCAGAGGGTCTCACGGAGTGTATTTTAAGTGCATTATTATGCCTCAAGGGGCCAGGCAGGCCTTGCACGAACTTTCAGAAAAATCTTCTCAGGGTGCTCAGTCCCCCTTGGAAAGAGCATTTTCTTCCTGATTTTACAATGAAAATGCTGTGGGGACTTCAGAAAGAAAGTCCATCCTGGGGACCTCAAACAAACAGATCTTTCTCCAAGGAAGTGGGCTTCTTCAGGAACAGCGAAGAAGAATCACGGTTGGGGGCGCGAGGCCTGGCAGACCTCGGGAAGGTCTCGAGAATGAAGGGGAGGGCTGCTAAGGAAGAGCCCGTTGGAGGAGACTGGCACGTGAAAGTGTACTAGCTTTTCTTTGTTCTTCCCTTCCCTTCCTGTTTTTTCCTCACCGAAGGATGTTTTTATTGACTTTAGAGAGAAAGGGGGGAGAGAGAGACAGAGAAGTGTAGATTGGATGCCCCCCATATGCGCCCCCACTGGGGACTGAACCCACAACCTGGTGTGTGTGTGCCCCGACTGGACCGGGCAGTGCTCCAACCCACTGAGCCTCGGGCTGGGGCTGGAATGACTTTGCATTGACTGGGTCATGGCAGCCTCCCATTGGCTGAGCTGTTACTGGGCCAGGAGAAATCTTTTCTTCCTCCTGCAGAGGTGAGAAAGCAGCAGCATGTCCTGTCACAGACGCAGGGTACCTTCCTATTGGGGTCATGCCTCAAGGGACCCACGTCTGAGAGATCCCCCTTCTAGCCTCTGGGCTCCACTCCCAAAGAGGTTCCTGTTGAATGATTCCCACTGTCCTGGGGTTTGCTCGTTAAGTGCAGGCTGCACCCTCCTCTGCACAGCCGGTTTCTGACCATTCGTTCCAGAGCAGCAACCCGACCATCCCTACCCCTCAGTCTCTTTGCCTTTGTTTGAGTTTGTCGTTTTGTCCAGAACACATCCTGTATATAGCATGTTCTTGTTTACTTTTTGTTGACGTTTTTATTGTTGATTTGCCACCATTAGAATAGCATTCCAGGGGAACAGGAAATATTTCTCTGCCTAGCCTTTTCACTCCCCGCAGTACCCCAGCTGCAAGAACAGCTCCTGGCAAATGCATGGCAACTCAGGAAAAACGTAACCTGCAAGCGGATCCATCCACGCCGAGAAAGGGAGAAGCTGCATCCTGCCCCTACCACCCTCAGCCCTGTGTCCAGCGGCGCTTGACGCCAGCCGCTCGGGCTGCTGAGCCACACACGTCAGGAACACTGCCTCCGGGCCAAGCTGGGTTGCCTGGGTTTTTCTGTCACTCACAGACAGAGTAATCTAGATTTATTGGTATTTCAACTTTATCCTTTTCATGCTTGTGGAAAATGAGAATAAGGAACACTAATGCTCACGTGCCTGAAATAAAAGCACCCCAAATGTAATGGCCTGTGTCCACTGTGTGCTCCTCTGTCCTCCTGCAGGCAGGCCTTGGGTGGCATTTCCCAGAGCTGCCAGGAGAGCACTCAGATTGGTTCCCGAGACTCTCGAGTGCCTATCAGGACCATAACTGTGTCACACAATGATACGGCAAAATAGCGGAAAACGACCACTGGACAAGGTGCTGAGAAATAGAGACGTCTTTTAAGTGGCGCTGTCTTGATTTCTGGGTTCACCCTGTGTTCTGAACGGTGGTGAGCTTTGCCTGTAGATCTGACTCGTGCCAAAGCTGCAGCTGCACAGCTTCCAAAAACTCACAGTGGACGCTGGCCCCGGGCACCCAGAAGCGCAGGTCCCACTGGCGTCTCTGCTCACATGCCCTGGGCTGGTCCTGTGGTGGTGGGTCCAGGTTTTAGCTTCCTCATCTCTGGAGCGAAAGGGTCAAACACGTTGGTTTCTGAGGCCTGGCCAGTGCTGACATTCTGTTTCTTGGAGCTTTGCCAGTCACCATCACTCAGATCTTTTTCTGTCTATAAAAGTAGACATAGCCACTGTGAAGTTTGGGATATCAGAGGTATAAAAGGGCATTGCCCATCGTCCCTTCCTTTAAGCAGCCTTGATTGACATCACCCTTCGTTTATTTTCAGTCTTTCTTCTGTGCAGTTTTAAAGCAGCATTAGTAACGTGAGCGGTAGAAATGGACAGATTCGTTGGGAGCATTGGTTCTGCTAGTGTTTGGTACAGTGTACCACGGCGGTTGCTCATCTCCAAACACAAACGGTCATAGTTACAGTAATCCTTAGACTTCTGAAGGTCAGATGAAATAACACATCAAAAATGTGTGGTCTGCACGTAGCATGTGCTCATGACTGTGCTCTCTGCGGAGGGCCACTGATCCCCTCTCAGAGCTCCTGTCTGACGTCCTTGCGTCGACAGCAAGAGGCTGAGGCAGCGTCAGCAGCCAGCCCCCGGCCTTCGGGCTGTCGGACATAGTGGAAGTGGGCAGGAGTGACTGCCGCGCTGAGCCTGATGGAGAGCCTCTTTATGGAGCGTGTTTAAGCAGTGATTTCTGCTTCAGAAGGGCCCCTGGCTGTGGAGTGTACCGAAGGCAGAAGAAGGCACTGTCACCCACGTGCCCCTGCATGACAAGCTACAACCGGGTTCCTTCCAGCCCTCAGGCAACTGGATTGTCGACCTGGGAACAGTACCTTCCGGGGAGATCTGAGAAGAAGTCGGGGACAGCACAAGAGTGAAAGCACTGTCCCCGAGGAGAGTCCACTTGGCCGGTTTCTGGGATGTGCACAGTCTGGACACGGTTGCGTAAGGAGGAACCAGGTCATCGTGGGGCCTGTCAGAGACTCTCAGAGTGAAAGAACCTGACCCCGGAGATGAGAAGAAGGAGCTTTTAGGAAAAGGATTTACCCCAGGAAACAGGTAAATTTCAGGCAACATCTGCTCTGTTCTGAAAAGTTTGAGAAAAGAGTTTCCATTTTCCTGTGAAAAATTTGCACCAGTGTTTTACCTTCTCTGCTCTGATCTCCAAGTGCACAGGGAACCCCGGGCTCTAAGATTAAAAGCCCTGTGGGGCAGATCACTGTACTTAACAGACAGCTTGCTGAAAGTGGGCAGACGGGAAAAGAGTTGGGCAGGATAGGTAAAGATATTTTTACAAAATAAAAATGTGTGATTTTAACATTGACATTAGTATTAGAAGATGTGGTGTGGAGGAGAGAAGGAAGTCGGCGGGGAGGGAGAGAGCTGGAGGGAGGAGAGCAAGCTGCCGCTGATGCGGGGGAGGCAGGCCGCGCCAAGCTCCAGACCTGGAGGGCGCCCCGGCTGCAGTGGGCAGTGGCAGAGCACAGACTGCCAGCCCAAGGGACGTTCACGTGACAGCCCCATAGCAGGCTCCCTGCCCACAGAAGAGCCACCCGGCACTGCCCCTGGGCCCCCCGTCTACAGAAAACGGGCAGACAACAAGGAACCTCCAGTCACTGAGGAAAACCAGCATTTATATATCTATATATATAGATAAATATATATATAGAGAGAGAGGTTATATATATATATATATATATATATATTTTAGATTTTATTTATTTTTAGAGAGGGAAGGGAGGGAGAAAGAGAGAGAAACATCAATGTGCAGTTGCTGAGGGTCATAGCCTGCAACCCAGGCATGTACCCTGACTGGGAATCGAACCTGTGACACTTTGGTTCGCAGCCCGCGCTCAACCCACTGAGCTACGCCAGCCAGGGGAAAACCAGCATCTTGAAACAGCGCTGAATCCTTGTGGAAATGTCAATACAGGAGTTGGGAGGTGACTAGAAGGCCATGATATCCGTTAAAAAGAGAATAAACTAGTAAGGAAAAAAGCAATACCGAAGGCAGAACAGACACAGATGTGATTGGAAGATTAAGCCACGTGATTCTTCCTGGACCCATGCAAAGGAGACGGAGACGAGAAACGTGAACCACTGGGGAGAGTGAACAAAACCTGATTCGGCGAAAGAAGACTTGACTCCATCTTGAAAAGTCCTCCAAATGCAGAGCAAGGGGAGCATTCGGACCCGTCACCCCCATACAGTGTCAGCAACTCATCGGAAACTTGGTTTTCAATACAATAGCAACAAAAACCACTAATAACTTGGGACTACACCTAATGAACAGCCCAGGGCTGCTATGGCTAAAAGTATAAAGTTTTGCCAAAAAACGTGAACGAACTGCATGATGAGACACACTAGGTGTTCAGATGAAAAGGTTCAGTACTGCATTTCTCCCTGTGTTGACGTTCTGTACATGACAGTTGCATCCCAAAGGATGTTCTCATGGAACTTGATGAGGTGGATTGTGAACGCTCACGAGGAGCTGGGAGCAAGGGGGAGGGATCTGCCTTCTGGAATCCAGGCCCACTCCCAAGCGTCCACCCTTACAGCAGTACGGCACGGGCGAGTCGGCACATCGAGGGGACGTAACAGAAAGTGTTGCAGCAGGCGGGGTTCCAGAATGTAAGAGTAATTTCAAAGGGAGGGGAGGATTTTCTTCTTAAGAAATGGAATGAGAGCTATGGCTGTTGTTTTGAAAGATGGTTAGAGCAATTCAGTTTTCTTATCACACATAAAAATAAATACCAGGCTAGTTTAATAGACATAAAAAGAAACACAAAAAGCTGGAGTTCATGCAAGGGAATGTTTTATAACATTGTGATAGGGAAGGGCTGCACGAGCAAGACTCTGGAGTCAAGGAGAACTTGATTCTGGTTCCCCTCAGAATGTCAGATTTTGATGGGTGTAGGGTCCAAATGACCTCAAGATGGACTATCTGAAGAATATTTGCCTGGTAGGAGAACTGACCGGTGCATTGCATGTACTTATTTAGTGCTGTCCTCCTCAGCGCTACCTGAGGCCCCAAACCGTAGCCACGTGCAGAAGCAGGGCCAGCACGTCGCTCAGCCCCAAGCTGGAGTTGCTGGAGCCCTCAGTGCGGAAGACCCCTCACCTCTCTGTGGGCTTCGGGAGCAGGCACCCTGTTCGTGTCATACTTCTGGGAAGGGGAGGAAAGTTGACAGGACCATTCAGTTTTAACATCTGGAAAAGAATTTTTACCTTTAGGAGGAAACTCAGACTTCTTGGTATCCAGTCTCTCCCACCTTCCTTTCCTTCCACAGGCTTCCCCTAAATTCTATCACACTGCCCAAGAGAGTGGGTGGGACACGGCCAGCTGGCCAGACACAGGCATCTTGTTGCCGACACCTTGGCACCACCTGCTGAGCAGCAGGGCTGGGGTGCAGGTACTGAGGTGCCAGGGGTCCTTGTCGACATCTGCAGGGTTTTTTTCATAGATGGTTTCTGTTCTGTATGTGAAGTCATTCCAGTGATGTAAGTGGTCCACAACTGTTTTCTCAGTGAGATGAAGAGCGGTGGTTGGTTACCTCTAACCCTCTTGATCTTCCATCAAAGTATTGTATTGACCTGGTCCTGCCCTTTGTTGAAAAGAGTATTTGCATTGGATTCCCACCATTCTGCAAAGTGATTAAAATAGAAAGATGCAAAGGAACTCTTAAAAATAAGCATTATAGCCCTGGCTGGTGTGGCTCAGTGGATTGAGCGCTGGCCTGTGAACCAAAGGGTCACTGGTTCTATTCCCAGTCAAGGCACGTGCCTGCGTTGCAGGTCATGTCTCCAGTAGGGGGCATCAGAGAGGCAACCACACATTGATGTTTCTCTCCCTCTCTCCCTCCCTTCCTCTCTAAAAATAAATAAATAAAGTCTTTTTAAAAAGCATTATAGAACATTTAGAAAACATCAGGAAAAAGAATAAACTCACCACCTTAAAGAAACATTGTGACTTCTGTGTCCTTTTCTAGTGTTTGTACTTCACATTGATGCTTTTATCTAGTATTACTGAAGTCGTTTTTGGAATGATAGCCAGGATAAATATTCTTTTAAAAAATGATTTTATTTAATTTTTTTAGAGAGGGAGAGAAACATTGATGTGTTGCCTCTCACATGTGCCCCAACTGGGGACCCAACCCACAACCCAGACAGGGAATTGAACCAGTGGCCTTTTGCTTTGCGGAACTCGGCCCAGTCCACTGAGCCACGCCAGCCAGGGCTGTCTTCCACTCGTCACACCCGTCTCCGGAATGCCCAGGGCAGTGCTTGCAGCTGCACTGACACAGACAGGTGAGTGCGTCCACCCTGGTTCTCGGAGCCTGGCTCCCCGTGTGGACGAGCATGTGTTTCACATGTCGCCGGGGGCCAGGCCCCAGCACACACTGCCTCAGCCCCATGAGGTTGGGACACCACGCTGCCCCCACTTCTGCAGATGAGAAGACTGAGGCCGATCGGGAGGAAGTGACTCCCCCCACCTGGGGTCCCATGGCCAGCCCTGGCGGAGCAGGGCTGTACCTGCTGGAGGTCATTGCTGCAAAGCCAGTGCTCCTTCCTCCTCTGCGCCCCACTTCTCCCATCCAGTGGCCCCTACCCTGGGCAGAAGGCCCCCTGA